CTCACATATTGTGTTGTATCTTACTCAAATTTTGCTCATTTTACTTCATTTTTTCTGGAATATGAAAGATACTTCAAAAGTATAATTTTTACAACTTAGATCATGTAATTTGGTTAAGTATTAGTTGAGTTATAGTAGATTTTGTATTTGAGTGTACTTAGTGTGACAAAAATCACGAATTGCACGTGTGACAATATTTATGAAAACGACAGTAAACTGCAAGAAGTGTTACTCTCAAGCGCTCAACGTCTGCCCTTGACCATAGCATTGTACCTAAGGAACCAGCTTTTCATACTGAGCACTGAACAGCCGTCCCCTGCATTAAAGTTAGTCTCTTCTCACACATTCTAATGCACGAGTTATAACAAGATTTTCAGACATGCGGTGGATATTTCGTTTGGAAGACGGCATTTGGACCGACCAGACCGCAACAGATAATGCACGCTTTGTAGCTTACTGGCGCCTTCGGACTGAGCAAACAGGTCAAACAAGAATATTGGAGGCATTGACGAGAATTGCAACTTTGCGCCAACATGGAGTACTATGCAGACCTTGAATCGATTTGCCGTGCACTATACAACCTGGTCCTTAAACACAGGGATCGTTTTGAGCAATCGGGCGAAGTAGGAGAACTTGACAAGTCGATTTTTCATGGTCGCGTACTACTCAGACTATATCCTGGAAGACATCTGGATCGTAATAAGGCATTGAACGAACTGGGAATATCTCTTTACACACGATTCGAGCAATACGGGCGAACAGAAGATCTAGAGGAAGCAATTGAGCGGTATCGCGCTGCCCTGGAACTTTGCTCCAAGGACGATCCCAATCGTTTCACGTCGCTGAATAGGCTAGTGGTCTCCCTCCAAACTCGATTCGAGCAGCACGGACTGGATACAGACCTCGACAAGTCCATTGAAATTTGCTGTTCTGCGTTGGAACTTCTCCCCAGCAGCCATCCCAATCGATCCATCTCTCTGAATAACCTTGCGAATTCCCTTCAAACTCGATTTCAACTGTATGGACGGACCGAGGATCTGGATGGAGCCATAAAGCACTATCGTTATGCCTTTCTACTTTGCCCCAGCGGTGATTCCAATCGTTCTGGATATCTGGGAAACGTGGCAGCGTCCCTGATGACCCGATTTAAACAGTATGGACAGACTGCAGACCTCGATGAGGCTATCGAGCATCATCGTTCTGCCTTACAGCTCGTTCCCACCCGCCATCCCTATCGTTCCATGGCTCTGATGAATCTTGGCAATTCCCTGCAAACGCGATTTGAGCAGTACAGACAGACTGTAGACCTTGATGAGGCCATCAAGCATCATCGTTCTGCCCTGCAGCTTATTTCTACCGGGCATCCCAAACATGCAATATCTCTGATGAATCTCGGAAACTGCCTACAAACTCGATTTAAACACCATAGACAGGCTGCAGATCTTGATGAGGCCATTGAGCACCACCGTTCTGCCCTGCGACTCCACCCTGTCAGCCATCCCCATCGTTCCACATCTCTAGACAACCTTGCAAATTCCCTTCAAGCCCGATTCCATCAGCATGGACAAACTGTGGATCTTGAAGACGCTATCGAGTATCATCGTGCTGCCGTGGAACTTCTCCCTAAAGGCCATCTTAGCCGTGTCACGTTTCTGAGTAACCTTGCACATTCCCTTCGCACTCGATTTGATCACTTTGGGCAGACCAGAGACCTTGATGATGCCATTGGGTATTGTCGTACTATCTTAGAACTTCGCCCTAACGACCATTCTGATCGTCCCACGTCTCTGCGTAGCCTTGCGGGTTGTCTTCACACTCGCTATGAACGGTATGGACGGGCTGCAGACCTCGACGAGGCTATCAGCCATCGTCGTGCTGCTCTGAAGCTTTGCCCCAATGGCCATCCTGATCGCTCCATATCTCTGAACGAACTTGCTATCTCACTTCAAACCCAGTTTGAACGGTATGGGCGGATTGTAGACCTCGATGAGGCCATCGGGCATCACCATGCCGGCCTGGAGCTTTGCCCTGATGGTCATGCCGATCGTTCCACATCCATGACTAACCTTGCAGGTTGTCTCCGAATTCGATTTGAGCAACTTGGACAGAATGCAGACCTTGACGAGGCCATTGAGCTTCACCGTTCTGCTGTGGACCTTCGTCCCGAGGGCCATCCTAATTGTTCTTACTCCCTAAATAACCTTGCAATTTCCCTTCGAACCCGATTTGAACAGCATGGACGAATCGCAGACCTTGATGAGGCCATCGAATATCTTCGTGCTGCACTAGAAACTCGCCTCGGCCATTTCGACCGTTCTTTGTTTCTAAATAATCTTGCAAACTCCCTGCTCATTCGATTTCGGCATCACGGACGGGCTGTGGACATTGATGAGGCCATCGAGTATCATTATGCTGCCCTACACCTTCGCCCCAACGGCCATCACCATCGTGCCATGTCTCTAGACAACCTTGCAAATGCCCTTCAGCCTCGATTCCATCTGCACGGACAGACTGCGGACCTTGATAAGGCTATCGAGTACCATCGCGCAGCCCTAGAACTTCGCTCCAATGGACACCCCAATCGTTCCGCGTCTCTGATTAACCTGACATGTTCCCTTAAAACTCGATTTGAACGATATGGGCACATCGGGGACCTTGATGAAGCCATTGACCATCATCGGGCTGCCCTGCAACTTTGCCCAGAGGGCCATCCCAATCATTCCACGTCATTAGCGAGCTCAGCTTTTACACTGTTCTCTCGGTTCAAGAAGTTTAAGTGCAAGGCCGATTTCGGGGAGTGTATGCAATTACTAGAACGTGCTGCCGTACATAAGTTTTCAAGCTCAGTTTTGCGTCTCCAGTTTGCCACTCAATGGGCCTACCTTGCACGGTCTCATGCACATCGTACCACGTCTAGAGCTTTTAAGGTAGCAATGCGGCTCTTACAGCGTGTCGTCATCATTAGCCCCACCCTTCCTACACAAGTTGACTTCCTCAACGAGGAAAGCGACTACACAACACTCGCATTAGATGCTGTGGCTTATACTGTGGATGGAAATAGGTTTGAAGAGGCTATAGAGATCCTTGAACAAGGCAGAGGCTTATTATGGTCGCAGTTGCGTGACTTTAGACCATCTTTGGATCTTCTTGCAAACACAAACAGGGAGCTTGCAAACAGGTTCAGGGATGTCAGTCGCCAACTGGAGGGCCTCGTAACGTCGACTACTGAGTTGCCATCTGTTTCAGGCGCGGCTGACCACCAGCCACCTTTACCGGACGTGTATAAAGAACGGAAATTGTTTGAGGAGAGGTTAGGTCTGAAGAGGCAACTCTCTAACGAGCAGGAGGCCATTATTAGCGAGATACGACAAATTTCTGGGTTTAAGGACTTTCTTGAAGCTACGTCGTTTGAACTACTCCATCAGGCAGCTTCAGAGGGTCCGGTTATCGTGGTCAATCATTGCAGATATCGATCCGATGTACTCATTGTTCTTTCCCGCGAGGATACGCCAGTCGTCTGCATTCCCTTAGATGGAGAGTTCTACGATGATAGCATCCAGTGGTGCTTCGAACTCGTGAACACACGCAGAAGCTCCGGGGCTAACTCATCGGAATATGACGAGAAGCTCCGCCAAGTGATGAAGACGCTGTGGGATAGAGTCGTTTCCAAAGTCGTCGAAAAACTGAAGCAGCTCGGAATTGCCGAAGAATCGCGCATTTGGTGGTGCCCTACGTATGTGCTATCTGCACTTCCCTTCCATGCTGCAGGCCCGTTCGAGGATATAGACGGCACCGAGAAGTATCTACTGGACAAGTACATCTCATCATATACTCCGACGCTCGGCGCGCTCATTAACTCGCAGTCATGTGGACTCAGAGAAACACCAACTGCTCTCGTCATTGGGGATATGTCACTCTCGTCAGCTAAGAGCGAGATTCGCCACATTAAAAATTGTGGCATAAATCCTAAATTACTGAGTAGCAAGGCATCTCACAATACAGTGATCAAGGCGCTTCGAAAAGCAACCTGGGTCCATTTCGTTTGCCACGGAGGCTTAGATCCGAAGCCTTTCAACTCATCATTCAAGGCATCAGACCGCGGGCTGACTTTACTCGATATTGTCCAAGCGAATCTTCCGAATGCAGAATTTGCATTCCTTTCCGCCTGTCATACTGCTGAACAGTCTTACCCTTTTGCACCTGATGAAGTGCTCCACCTGGCCGCAGCAATACAATTCTCTGGATTTCGAAGCGTGATTGGATCGATGTGGGAGTTGCTTGACGAAGATGGCCCATTTTTCGCCAGGACAGTTTATGAATACATGTGCAACTGCGATGATGGCGAGGCGAGGTATAAGCGTGCAGCTGCCGGGCTTCGCAAGGCAGCTATAGCACTCAAAGAACGGCCAGACATTCAGGCTGAGAGATGGGTCAACTTGATTCACATAGGTACTTGATTAGCCCTTATGTTTCTTTTGCTGTGAGTAACCTTGATTGTTTTGTGGTGCTTGTTAAAGTAACCCATTCCATTTCCATCCAGACTGGTTTCACAATCGAGAGGTGACATACCTTCCAGTAGCTGCTCATATCACTTAAATCCTGTTTTTACTTGACTGAGGAATGCATTTAGAGCTGCTCCGCACGCCTGCATGCATACGTGTGTGTGTTTATGTGATACTTGAGCATGTGTTAGTCCAAGAAAATCATCAATTGTCCACACAATAACAAAATTAAAAGTAAAACAACAAAATTTCCCAAACAATCTTCCTAGATCCCTTTACATATGAACGTCATTTGCACATCTGCAAGCCCCCACCAACACCTGTGTCTGCATACCCGCAACCAGTGTCAGAGTCTCGTCGTTTGAAGTGAGGACGAAGCTGTCAACAGAATTCACTCAAGAGTCTGGTATACATGGAAACAGCTGCAGAATGGTTATGTTCCTAGACGGCGGCGACTTGTTCGACAGCATCTACAATTCCAAGAGTACGATAGTGAATGTTAGCAAACTCTGAATGACAAGTCGATATGTGAACGAGTGACGGACCCTCCAGCAATGCGAACATCGCAAGGCAGTCCATAGAGTGTACATCGTGTTCATTTCGATTACATAGCTTGATGTATCCTGTAGATGTTGGCATTCAGACGGAAGTCGTCGGTCATAGAGTGCGACGTATGTGCTTGACTTGTGATTCAGGTTCCAGCAAGTCGCGTCGTGTGACACGAGAAGAGACGCATATGTCACGTAACGTGACCAACGGATCGCATCATCGTCACA